TAGTAGTAGTAGTAATAATAGTAGTAGTATTACTATTATTATTATTATTAGTAGTAGTAGTAAGAGTAGTAGTAGTAGTAGTAGTAGTAGTAGTAGTAGCAGCAGTAGTAGTAATAATAGTAGTAGTAATAATAGTAGTAGTAATAGTAGTAGTATTACTATTATTATTATTAGTAGTAGTAGTAAGAGTAGTAGTAGTAGCAGCAATAGTAGTAGTAGTAGTAGTAGTAGTAGTAGTAGTAGTAGTAGTAGTACTAGTAATAATAGCAGTAGTAGTAATAGTAGTAGTATTACTATTATTATTATTATTATTAGTAGTAGTAAGAGTAGTAGTGAGAGTAGCAGTAGCAGTAATGAAACAGTATTTGCAGCTCACCGAAGCTCGGCGCGCTGTGGAGGGTCATATCCCGGATGACTCTGGTACCAAAACACGACCACATCAGCAAGAACTGTTGGGCCACCTTCTTCAGTGACCCGGGCCTCTTCCCTGCCACCTAGAGAGAACATTTCCATGAGAAAGGGGTGGGGGTGGGGGGGCGTAGGGGGACACCGGGCAAGAATTAACCCCATGGTCCATATTGGAGCTTAACCCTCAGGAACGAAAAACATGTCAACAAGTCAACTATTTAATTTGCCCCCGGGGACACGCCTTCCTATTGAACTATTGTCTGGGCGGTGCAAGGCGTTGCCAGGGCGACCAGATTTTACAAGCCCATATCTGGCACATAATGGGCGCAAATGGGAAGCTTGAAGACATCATTAACTGGGGAGGATTGCGACCTAAGTGCCTCAATGAGAGAAGGACACGCAGAGGTCTCTTTGCCAAAAGACTATTTGCTCCACAAACACATTTTTTTAACACCGTCATCTTTACTGCTGCAAGAAATGATCTCATTAAGTGTATAAATGTGCCGAGCCGTGTTTAAAAGCAGCTCACCTTGACGACGCAGCGGTCCACCATGGTGTCCAGCCACTCGATGTAAGCCTCTATCGGGGACTGCTCCTCCAAGAGGCGGTCAAACTCCTGATACACTGTGACAGGAGACAGAACATCTAGTGAACAAGAACGTGGACTTAAACAGCCTCAGGAGGACGGGCCGTCTACATATGAGCGACCTCTGCTCCTGTCCTGAGTTGGAGCGGCTCCTCGGGGTGTTTGAAAGGAGAGCGAACTTGTTTAACCTTTTGGTCTCCGTCGTCAAAGCTCCGACTCTGCCGGTCGTGGGAATAATTGTCCCCGAGTGTGTTTCTGTGCAGCTCTCGGCTCGTCCGGGTGCGTTAAAGTGGACAGTTTTACTGGGTTACTTACAGTGCATAATAAGCTGCCTGTGCTCCTCCTGCGAGTCCTCCATGGTGTAAAGTGTCTGCTTGGTGATGCTGTTCAGGTCCACATTCCTCCAGTCCTCCAGCATCTGAAAGGTGATGTCAGCGCTGTTTATCACAGTCCGAGATGCCTGAGGACGAATAAATCAACAACATGACACAGTCGAACACCTGTTGTATCGTCGATCAGCTTTTAGTTTTTAGTTTTTCATCTAAATCCTATCAAAAACAATCAGTCCAAAAAGCTGCACCTGACATAGATGGTTTAAAGACGTTTGCCGCTTTAGAATTTGAGAGAATCTCCTCGACACTGAAAACAACACACAAAAAACACGGACGTTACTTTGTGTACTTCATCAGATGAAAATATAGTATTAATATTTTTTCATGTTTTTGTGCACTTACATTCAAACTTGATATTCCGCAGGTTTTCTGGAAGGTCGTGAAGTGCTATTTTAAGCCATTCGTCGAGCTGTTTGGCAAATTTTCGAATGACCTGAGTCAAGCTGCAGAAAATAAAAAGACAGAGTGGATTTATAAAAAGTAAAACATCTTCATGTAAATGTTCTTCTGAGGAGTAGAACTTTATTTTACTTAGAAAAAAAAAAACCTGACAGTGTTTTTTTAGACTGCTCAAAAAAATTATCTCTAAAATGTAAAGTTTTCAATTAGTTAAAGTTTGCAATTTGAGCAAAAACAGAATCCTGATGAAACTTTTCAGTATTTGTGTAGTTGTAAGTTGAACAGTCAGTGTTCATTCGACCTAATGTGATAAATATTTAGTTTTGTTGTTGTTGGAGAGAAAAAAAACTTTTGTTTAAACATTAGGTTATTTTTAACGAGCTAAAATATTGCTAAAATAAACAACTTTTAATACTTCCTATACATGGAGTTACTTTAGTGTTTTATTCATGTAAATGATGAAAGCAGGTTTTCAATAAAGAAAAACAAAATTAAGAGCCAAACTATAAACAAAATCCACAAAAAATGAAATAAAAGAAAATCCCCAGATTTTATTTGTCAAACTAAAATGCTTGTTTCTTTAAGGAGGTTCAGGATGGTACACAAACTGAAACTTTGAGATTTGATGAAAGTAGCAGCTATAGCTTTTATTTATTTATTTTTTATGGTTATCTAAAATAACGCCGTACTTATAACGCAGCAAAATGAAGTCTAAAGAAGAGTGACCATGTAAACCAAGCGTTTAAAGTACATGACATCATAAATAACAAAAAAAGCCTTTGAATAATGCAATTAAACCTTAGATGCTGATTAACAGGTTTAATTAGCACAGTAAGTTTATGTAAACAAAATAGATTTATGTTTTAAAGTCTGAGCTGTAAAAAAATAGAAAATCCAGCTTTATTGCTATAAAAGACTTTATTTAAAAATATTAAAGGAGCTCCTGTAACTACAGATGTTCACCTGTCAGGCAGTGCTTGCAGGACGGTGGGCATCAGCACCCCAGAGATGGCCTTGTAGAGGATGGAGTCACAAACTCCGACGATGTTCACCACCGTGGGGGAGCCGAGGACGGGGAGCATGTGGGGCGGCATGCCTTGCCAGAAGTGCAGCAGGAAGCTTTGGACCTGCAGACGCCACACAGGATGTGATGTCAGCACCACAGAGGAGGAAGAGGGAGTTTGCGGGAGCAGAATTTAAAGTGACGTTTATCTTCGAAACAGGAGAAACCTTGCCTCGTCAAAGTTGGCTCGAATCACCGTGTCCAGTATCCTCTGACAATGTGTTCTGTACATCATGATGAAGGTCGACACCTGAAAGCAACGACTCAGTATTAATCTATTTGTTGCACGAACCAAAGTTTATTTCCTCTTCTGGGGGGAACTGAAAAAACACAAGTGTAGCAAAAACAAGAAAATAAATCTGCCTGTGGGCCAATAAATACATGTTACAGGTCCCGAACGATATAAAACGGGCTTTAGAGATCAGCAAAACACAAACCATTTAAAATCATGGCCCCCCTTTTAAAAGCCGGACAGCTAGTACCCGTCTTTTGTCCACTGCTAGATCTTATTATCTCACCCCCTGAAGATTAAGAGTTAGTGAGGAGCCAGCACATAAATCCTCAAGGTCCTTCTCTCAGTGCAAACCCAGATAAAAGAGTCGAAGGAGGGGTGCAATGATGGTAGGAAGAGGCGAGGAGGAGGAGGGGGGGCGTTGTAAGTATGGACTTTTAAAACTCCCGTTTACCCTTTCTTCTGGCAGGCTGGCAGGCAAATTTAGATCTTTGACATTTGGGAACTCTGGCAGGAGCGTCCCCAGTTTGGAGCGCGGTGAATACGCCACTGTCTGCTTCGTGACCTCCTTCTTCCCCGTCTCGTTCACCCACGCCGCCCCCTTTTTGGAGTACATCACGTCGTAGTACGGGGACGACTCCTTCACTGCGATGCCGTAGTAGTGATACCTGAGGAGCAGAACAGCATCACTGCAGCTTATAGATCTAGAAACAACGACGAATTATACACAATTTAATGTGATTAGGATTAGATTAGACCAGGGCTATTCAAATAAACTGCTCAGGGGGCCACAGTTTCTGAAAGCCAACAGCTCAGGGGGCCGGACATCCAGCGATTAAAGTCATTAAATAAACCAAAGTTTACAATGATCTGTTACCTTTTAAATGTATTTTATTGTATTGAATCATAAATGCAATAAATAGAACCCAAAATCCAAACCCAGAACCCAAAAAATATATATTTTATTTTTTGTAATGAAGTGGGCCAGACTGAAGTCACCTGCGGGCCGGACATGGCCTGTGGGCCGCCAGTTGAATAGCTCTGGATTAGACTGTCTGTATTGTTTGCCAAATAAACATTAACGTTTAATAAAATGCTAATAAAGCAAACTAGTATGAAGGTTTCGTTCAAACTTTGTGTGTTATTACCATGTAAAATTATTTTTAAAAATTGTGTTTGGTATTTTGTATGCGTTTATAAAAAGAATAGCGCCTGAACATACTTGGACTGGCCTCTTGTCCCCAGTCTTCTGGTGGTTAGTGCTGGAAACTGCTGCCTTATGATCTGTTTAATGAGGGAGATAAAAGCCATGAATGTAAGGACAAGAAAACACTGACTGATTTATATAAAGAACATTTACATTTAACAGCAGCTGATTAAAGTAAAGACAAAAAATGAGGTAAAACAAGTGACATAAGGATTAACGGAGCGTTGTTGTTGTGTCAGGTAAAAGAGTAACTTCTGTTATTTCTATGCAAGTGTTGGGTTTACTTCCACAGTCGTTCATTTATGATATTACTTTCTGCCACCTCACTCATCTTCCCTTCCCTCCCTCCCTCCTCTCTTTTTGTCCGGAGAGATTGGCTCCTCGGTCCGGTTCCCGGTACAGAAACTTTAGCAAACAGTGTAGCTCTCCATTGTGCGGGATGAAAAAAGAGGCCAAGCTGTGAAGTTTCTGTCAGGCCCCCGCTTGATAAATGAGCAGACAGGGAGGCAGTCCGGGCCCTCTCTCGTTGTTTTGTCCAGAATCAATGAAGCCTTCCTAAAGGACACCCCACACTGCTCCAGCCACTGATCTAACATTCCGCAACATCTCACCCTTCCAAATTTCCTTTAATTACACATTAATCCAGGCCCCTTCTCTTTTTCAATATCTTCCGACAGGAGCTGTGGAAGGGTGGGGGGTGGGCCTGGGGTTGGGGGCTGGGGCCGGAGCTCAGGGTACGGTGGATGGCTGGGGGTAGGAAGGCCGAGAAGCTTCTTGGGGTTGTGGGAACAGGCGAGAGCACATCTCCTTTGGCTCTAGATTATGTGTTCACACTGAGCTGCAGCTCCAGCGCAGCAGCAATAAACCCAGCCAGGCACGGCACGGCTTGAATATTTTAATCTGCTTATGTTAAATCGTCAAAAGCTGTTAAACGATTCCACGTCTCGCTGGATGCAGGTGAGAACGATGAGAAGTTTGAACCTCACCTTTCCAAAGCTGGCTGCGTTCACAGGCTGCGTGTCGTGCTTCTCACTGAAGTCAAGGTAATGCATGTAGAGGGCACTTCTGGGGATACACACACCTTCGGCTATTTCATAGTTTTCCTCTAACCTGTGGCACGACACACACGAGGGGATCACAACCTCATAAACGGACTCTAATCATCATCATATTTCTGGTAAAACACTTGCTTTACTTCACTTTATAAAAATGATTCAAGTTTCCCCTCAAAGGGAGAGATTAGAGTTTATGACAAAACATCAGATTTAGCCTTTAGATGTCATTGTTGTAATTTGCTGCTTTTTAAGATGAACAGAAAATCAAAAGTACTATGTCAGGATGCAGAACGAATCGTTTGGGATCAAGAGCAAACACTTAAAGACATTTTCTTGAATTAAAGTCTCACAACAAACCCAATGGGAAATGGTACAACCAGTCAAAGTTCATGCTCAATCATCCAGGTACAAAATCCAATAATGCTCAATCAGGTCACCTGGACAGTTTCTTTTTTGTGGAAAGACGTTTCACCCTCTATCCAGAGGGCTTCATCAGTCTGAAGAGTCCCAAGTAAACTGTTCTCCCCACTAAGCAGTACACTCCTTTAATGGACCAACCAGAGTCTTGCAACTCCTCAGACTGATGAAGTCCTCTGGATAGAGGGCAAAACGTCTTTCCGCAAAAAAGAAACTGTCCAGATGACCTGATTGACCATTATTGGTACAACCAGAGTTTCTAAATGTTTCAATTACAATCAGGAAAGATAAAGTTTCTAAACAGTTTATTCTACTGTCTGTTGTTTTAGTCGGTTTCCTGCTAAGCTAATCAAACTATAATATTTTATTTTAAAAAGCACAATCACACAGATGTGTGCCCTCAGGAAGGAGTTCATGATGCACCTGAAACTTGAAAAATTGACTTACACTGACATACTGACACTTCTAGACTATTTAAAGTCACAATAATCAAAAATAAATAATTTGCTGTAATGAAAAATAGTAATAGTCCATGGCGGTTTGAGTTTCTAACTAAAACTGTGTCTTCTTGGTCTGTATGTGAGGACCTGTTGCTTACACGATAACTACAAACTGTTTTCATGAGTTTGACTTATACTTTTTTCAAGTGGGTTCTGGAGGATTTCTCTTTTAAATGTTCAGCAAATAAATTAAACCACAGTCTGACGCAGCGATTTTTAGAAAGCTGAAAGAATATTGTCCAAAAACCGATCCTTGAGGTGCGCCGGCAGCAAGAACAAAGTCTAGCAAGGTCAAAACAGACTGACAGTTTTGTTTATAAGTTGTATTATTACAGCGGTATGTATAAAACAAGGTTTTATTGACAAATAAAACTTGTCATTTGTGTTATTAAGATTGATCTTCGTTTTATTTTGAAAAGTCAGTAAAGACGAGCAGTGTCACAGCTTTTACTCAAATGCAGAACTGGGAAGTATTTTACTTTACTACTACTTTAACTATACAAAATACTGAAGATATCAGTTTTACATCCCAACAATATTTCACAGCATTAGTGGTTACTTTACTAATTTAAAACTTTTTCTACATGAAGAACCAAGTAAACATCTACTTTTACCATCATTTAAACTGTTTAACAGCTACACATTTTCATTTTTAGTCTACCAAATTGCAAAAGTAAAGCAAAACAAAAGTAATTCTACTTTATCTGTAAATGACAATCATCCAAACGGTAATTATGTAACAACACAATGGTCACAATCTGCAGTAAATATTTACTTTACTTGGATTTTTCAGATATTTACTTCACTGGAATCACTCTTTAATACAGAGCTTTAACTTAACACAAAGAACAGGATGGTATTAATTTCATACTTCCTTAACATGTGGGAGCTTTAAAAAGAAAATAGGAGAAATCAAGAGGTCTTGAAACCCACTATGAAAATGATTTGTTTACTGCTTAAAATAACAGCTCAACAGTTTTTGTTTGTTTAAAAGGCACAGCATCAGAAATGAAAATATGTGTGCATGTCTCTGTGTGTATATACACACACACATACATATACTGCATCACAAAAGCTACATTTTTGCTTAACTTTTTAATTTGTTAAGCTTTTTAGACTGCAGTTAAATGGTAAATGTATAGTGATAATATAATAACTAATTTCCACAAATGTAGAATAAAATAATCCTGTGATTATATTTTTCTGACCAGTTTAAAACTAAAGATTAGTCGTATCAAAACGAACAGTGAGCATTGAAAAACAAAATATTAAAGCAATTCCAGCTACAAAACTCAAGTGAGTGATAAAGTTACACAACACTTGTCTCTGACATGACTGATATATATATATATATATATATATATATATATATATATATATATATATATATGCATTATTGCTATTAATAACAAGTAACTAAGTAATATGTAACAATCCGACCCTGTAGTCATTTTAATTCTGTCATAATAAGAGTGATCAGTTTAGATGTCATGTTCAGCTGTGTTCATATTTTATAGCATCTAAAACAGATTTTAATCCACGTCAGTTTCTCTTTTGTGCTTTAACGCGTGACAAAAAATGAAAAAGGTCTATATTTGTTCTCGATAACTCACCATTCCAGAGTGGCTGGTGTCGAATGAGGTTTAGAGGCTCTGTTATTTTCCTTTTCCTCCTCTGCAACAGGCGACCAAAACAAATGATGAGACCACAACGATGACACAAACACTTTTTTTTTTTTTGTTTTTACAGATTGCACCTCTGTGCCAACATAAACATTAGCAGAACTACAGTTTGCTCGGTTAAAGTGTTTTTCTTGCTTACGTTCATCGTTGGACATGTTCCCCAGAGACGTGTGGCTCGAGTATCGCTTGCTCTCACTTTCATTGAGGCACCGTTCAATCCAGCTCTCTATAATAAAACAATAATTGAAGAAACTGTACTTTTTCCAGAAGAAAGTAAAAAAAAACAACTGATTAAACAGTGAGTATTCTGTGTCGTTTGGAGGAAACAGCCTCAACATCTTGTCTGTTTTTGTGCTTTTAGAACTCTTTTCAGCCCCAACCTGCAGCAGAACTGATGGAAAGACGTTTTTATATAAACAGCGCCCATACAGGACTTTTAAAATGTCACTAATGTGACGGAGAGGAACAACAACAATCAATTGTATGGGCAGTGCAGCCGTGGGTCTATTTGAGATGTTTTTCATCAAGACGGCAGGAATCCAGCATTGTCTCCCCCCCCCCCAAGAATACGAGTGCACACACAAGCTTAAAAAGAGCCTGTGCACATTACTGAGGCAGTCTGCTGGAATAGAGGCCATTGTCCCGTTTTAATTTCTACTTAGAAATAGCTCGACTGGTGTGCTTTTTGTGAG